TTAAGTCCCGTACACACAGCTATCCCTCTGCCTTTGATCTCCTAATAATCAGAAATTTCATTCGCTTCCGAGTTTCTTATCTCCCACGAAATTCATTGGTAGCTGAAATTTCAGTCCTCCAGTTTTCGTCTCTTCCCGGAAAAGTCGTTAATTTCATTAAAATAATTATCAATATTTTTTTTCACATATTTATGAATATCTATCTGATCTTTCATCCCGTTTTCATCAACCGTATCGCGTGGCAATTATAATTAGTAATTTTCAAGCATAATCCTATCATTAATCTCCTAGATAGAAAAAAGGGGAGGGTAAAATAAGCTGGATAGGTATCGGAAAATACGGGGTTATCAAAATGTTAATACATATTTTACTCGTCACTAAATTATCCGCATTATACGATCAAATATGGAACAGAGAGCTTATCTCGTGTATATGAATAAATAATCGAGACCATCGCGAGGACGGTGATAATTTTTCATCTCGTTACCCGACAACGATCCGATTTCGATACACTGTCGCGGTAGCGGGATTCTTTGAAAAATGTCTCTGGCGAAAATGAAACACCCTATACGAAACGTTGTATATTCTGGTAGACGGGAACGAGCAATGTACGTGTACACAAAACGCGTGTGTCTAAGTATATATAAAACCGATCTCGTTCCCTGGAGGCTTCTCGTACGTTGGGGTGCTAGACGGTGGTTCGGAAAATCCAATCGCTTCCCGACGATATACGTCTTTGTAACTCGATAAGTCACCGGGTAATGCGGAACGGGGATCTTTGAAAGAAAATTTCGACGTCCAGCAAGAAGGAAAAGACGAAGAGGAAAGTAGAAGGCGAATGATAAAACCGGGATCAAAATCCGGAAAAATCTGATCTCTTTCTCGAATATTCGGATACGTCTGTCCGTGTAATACCATTCGAATAAAAAGTATTTTGAGGAAAATGTGAAAGTACGATTTCCATTCTGTAGAAATAGCTGAATTAATTTTTATTAACACTCGGACGCTCTTGTAATTTTCTATTTCCTTTTTTCCCCAATTTTCCCCGAAAATTCTCATTTCCCCGTTTTAATACCGTCGATTCCATTTAATACGACTCTCGACTTACACGCGTCGACGGAATCAGCCGCGTGTTCGTCGCAGTCACGTGGCGGAAGCATAAATATCATTGCAAATGGAAATATCGGGAAGCGAGCAATTTCCGTGGCTCGTAAATTTCAGCCTCTAAAAATCTGACAATACCTCGAACGGAATTAATATCAAATGTTCGCGTGAACCAGATTAATTGACGCGACGATAAAAGCCAACTCGCCATTCCAGGTTTTCCTCTTTATCTCTATGAAATTTTAACCGACTCGTACCTGCGTCAAATTCGAAATCGGTTACTTCCACCCTGACAGCCGGCGTATTAATTAATTAATATTACAGGGCTGCCGCAGTAAATTATTCAACGTCTTAATAAAAGAAAGATATATCTGTCTCGAGCGTCCCTGGTATTTCCTCCAGCTTCTGTATACGTAAACTTTACGTAGTTTTCCCGTCTTATTGCTCGAAATCTGCCAAGAAAGCTGCGGCGAACAAGCGCAACGAACACGCGTAGATTTTAACGTCCCTACCACCGTCTGGCGTGATAATTTACAATCGTTGCCACGGACAGCCACGATTTTATGCATCCACGATGTTTGCCAACGATCCGCCCACCCTTCGAACACCGAAATACTTATTCGATAGGATAGTCGTCTGGAACGTCTTCGGAGGAAACCTCCATTGGTCAGATTCCGCGTTAGTTTATTTGAAACGAACCATACTGATCGAGCTTTGATTCAGGAATATTACGAAGCATCGCGCTGGATTCGTTCTCCATTTTCGCCGACAGGGAATTACACTTGCAATGCAAACGCTTCGTTCTCTCTTTACTCTTGGTATTTACTCTAGCAACGTATTCTACGCGTACCTCTGGTAATCACCTAAAAGCTACGGGCTTTATTTATATCGAAACAACGCTGCGGTGCATGAATTTTGGAACGATTTTCTTCGTATTTCGTTTCACAGGGTGGTACACTTAAAAGTGTACCTGAAATCTATCGATTTTATTGATCGATGTAGAAGAGGAAAAAACAGTCGAAGTTATAGCGAAATGGTATCGGGGGTGGTTCGGTGTTAAAAGGCTGGTTACCCTGGGAACCAGTTAATCTTTTTCTCAGCCCATTGGGACGCAAACCGGTACGTGACTCGCGGGACAGTACGGCGGGATGGGTAAACTTTTATTAAAAATCTAATTGGATCGGAGCTCGGGGCCCGAGGGCCATTTCACCGGAGGTTCCTTACTTCTTTCCTCTTCTGCTCTAGTACGCGCCTCAATAAACGCTTGCGTCTAAAGCGCGGATATATTCTCGTTACTTTTATTCTTCTTACGCGAGAGGAATTTAACGTGATCGATTTTACTTGCAATCGTTTCAGTTTAACGCATTGCACTTTGTATTTTTAATTAGAATTTATTAAAGGATTTATGTAAGGTAGCAAATTGGAAATCAAAGTACCGGTGAATTTTTCTACAAACAATGAATTATTGTAGATTTATAGTGGCGAATGGGCGCACCGGCACCCGGAAACCGCGTTCGAAAATTAACGTGGCACGCGTGTGTACGTCAAACGGATATCCTGTCCGCGTAACGCGCAAGCGACTGTAATTGAGGATTTAAACGTTGTTTGTGTCAGGTGCAAATGAAACATACCCGGTGTCGGACTTTTCTGCTTCTGGCCCAATTAGTTGGTTGCCCTGATGGAGGGGATCGTTTCAGCGGTTGTTTGTTAAGCGTTTCGCGGTTCCTGTTACAGCTGTATCACGTACCGTGGCTGAAATTACGGCTCGATAATTCGCTGTCGGCGGTGCACCTTCGTTACTAGCCTGCCATTTATTAAAAGTATAAATAAGTAAGTCGCGATGATATTAAAGAAACGGAAAATTTTCCGATTCGTAATCTAGGATCTTTGGAGAATAATGCGCCCCGGAAGATAGGTGTACGTGCACGAGTTCGGTTACCTCGGCTAATTGGTCGCGAGAGCAGAAGATGGAGGCGTCTCGGTTCGCCGCGATAACGTTACAAGTAGGAAAGTAAGTTGGTTAGGTGGCGGAGAGTCGGCGGGCGACAACGAGCCAGGAAATCGTAAAGTAACTTCGAAGGAATTACGAGCGGAAGGAAGATTACTTTCCGCCAGGAACAGCCAGAAAATTCACCGACATTCACCACCGATACAGTTAACGCGTGACGAAGTAACTTCGAAAAAATTCACCGAGAAAATTACTTTCACCCCTTGCGCCCGGCTGACGAGGGACATTTTAATTGCGTGTACCTGCATATTCAGAGACGCGAGATTCGTAATATTCGCAACTCGTTCCCGGAGAATTTGCAAGCAGCCAAAGGACCCAGGAGCGGCGTGCCGTGATCCCGATAACCGGAAGCCTCGTTTATTATGTGTCGGAGCCTTTCAAGCTCGCCACCGTTGAATTTTCCATCAACGCCGGGTTCCTCCTTTCGCCATGCAAATAAGCCGGGTCGTGTTATCACTGGCTATCGCTTTTTATTCTCGACCTTTTATTTACTTCGAAGGATTAGAACTTTTTCAAATTGCACTTTCTCATATAATTCGTAGCTACTCGCGGACGAGTTGCAAGAGTTTTGGCTGAGAAGTAGCGAGCCTCTTAGAAGCTTGCGATAACGTTACAAGTCGGAAAGTAAGTTCGTAAGGTGTCTGGGTGCTCGAGCCTCGCGACAACGATCCGAGATATCGCGGGAATTATGATCCCCTCGAGATACGAGCCGGCCTCAGAAATGGGGATAGAAATGGTTTCTCGCGTAACTTTCGCGACATCTGCCTTCAGACTACCCTGGCTAAATAATTTCACCCGTTTTCCGATAACGTTCCACCTACTATCTTTTTGGAAACTACCCTCTATTTCCATCCTGATAGAACCGTTCGAAAGGTTGCATACGAAATTGACAAAAGACGGAGGAAATTTCAATGGTAAATTATCACGGGATATCCTTCGACGTAATAAATTAATTCCTTTAGCTCCGCTATCTGTCCGACACCCTTTGAAACATCGACTCGACGACGGGTTAGGACGGCAAGGGTGCAGCGTTGACGGAAGGGACGTCGAACACGCTTAAAATTGATGGTTAATTCAAAACCACCGCAGGGCTGCGACTGAATTTGACCGAGGCAAATAACACAGCGGGGGTGGAGCAAGTTGATTCGCGGCCTGCAGCTGTAAACACGAATAATGGAGAGTACCGATTGGTAAATTGTGTGCTGCTGGTCGTTCAGGTTGGTTTGCCAGCCTGTCTACCCTCTCGTCCTCTTCGTCCCTTCCTCTTCTTTCCCTCCTTTTTTTTTCCCTCCCTTTTTCTCCGTCTGTCGCGTCTCTGCGGGATGAAACGAGGGCTCGTATTGCCGATTCGTTCGAACGGACACGCGTTTCGACAACGTTGTTTTCGCCGATGAAACGAGCTCCTCGTTGTCGGTCGATGGACGAGGGATGGGGATGTTTCCGGCCGAACGATAAGCGTACCGTTAAAAGCTCTCGCGGATATTTATAAAGTATCCCGCGGCGGCATCTTTCCACGCTCGGCCAGTGTATCGAACACGCTGGATCGATCGGTGTATTGCATGAATTATTCATCGAGTATCGTATCGCGGACATAGTTGTTAAAAGTTTGGATCGAAAGAAGAAAAAAAAAGGAAAAAGGCAAGCAACGATAACCGATGAAGAAAATGGAAACGACGCGAGATAGCGGTTGGTATGGAGAAGTAATATGATGGGATGGCCAATGCGATTGTTGCTTGCTCCTTTTCTCCCTAAACTTTTTCTTCGTTTGTTCGAGTAATAAAACTCGGTTTATACGACGCCGGGATCCCTCAAGGAGAAATGTATACGAATTGCATGGAGTGTTTCGGAACTTTCCTGTAATTTTTCTTTGTTTTTCTTTCTCTTCCAGATACCTGGAGAACGCTCGTCAGCTTTCAAAAGCTTACAGAGATCGGCCTGCGACACCGGTGGAGACGGCTGTTTGGTGGACGGAGTACGTAGGTCGAGGGAATGGCGTGCCGTATCTAAAGAGCGAGGGGTCAAAGATGTCCTGGTGCAAACGTAATCTCGTCGACGTTGCCGCCTTTCTGATAGCCGTAGCATTGATCGTTCTTTACATTCTCTATCGCGCGATCAAGTGTCTCATCTTCTCAGGCAGGAAGTCAAAGAGCCATAAGAAAAGAGATTGAAACCAGTGCCATTAATAATACGTACTTCTTCTTTTTAAAGAGAACATTGTACATACGCGAATTTGTGATTCTCTTAATTTTAACTCGTATGCTCTCGAAACAAAAGTGTGTACGCTTCAAAGGAAAGACCAAAGAGAAGATGGAAAGGAGAAAAAGGATAAAAGAAACAGAAAGATGAGGGAAAAAAGGGGAGGTTGGGAAGCAGCTTTGCGGGGCATTACTCGGTATTTCCCAGGTGGCCGAGTCACCGACTTTGCCTCGTGCCAACGACGAAGGGAACAACGGTGAAGACGAAGAGGCGAAGGTTTTACTGCGACCAGGAGGTTGCATCGGTTCTCTTCTGGCTGTGCTCACAGCTGGAGGCAACTGGAACCGGTGGTGTGCTCGAATGCACTTCAACACCGTGCACACACATCCACCTAGACGTTGACAACAAAGATGTATCGCGTCTAGCGTTGCCAGATTAAATGAGACCGGATGTTCCCTGCTAGCTTCTGTTCGCTCGCGTTCAGTTTTCACCCTCTCACGCTCCGACTTCGGCCTCTTTCAACTTCCTCTTGGATCCTCGCTGGAGCGACTCGTAAAGATATACGCGGAACGATAAACGCGACGGAGAAATTCCGTTCGAACGATGCGTCGATGGTTCTCGCATCGCGCGATAACGCGTCTAGCTGGCGATTCTCGTTTTTCGCGATATCGTTATGGCAATATCGCTCGGTTCCTTTCGGAACGACCTCATCTCATGGTTTTCTTTTCGCTACTTTCTCCAGCGATGAATTTTCACGATGATCGTCCAGCGGGAAGGTAATTTAACCATAGTGCTCGTTTGAAGTTTCAATGTTTGATTAGTTTAATTAATTACTTGGTATTGGAAGAAATTCAATTTTTTTGTAAAAAGTGCACCAGTATAAATATTAATTTTTGTGATAATCTTTTTGTTTTATTTTTACAAATTATTACCTAACGAGGGTATTTTTCTCCTGACTATATTGAAAGAAACAGAGCTCGTTGTCTCAGGCTATTATTCGCAACGATTACGTTTGACAGAAGAATAATTCGTAATAATATTTTCTTTCACAATAGAAGTTTCGAAGGACTGTGTTTTCGAGACGTTTTAATGGATTTTCGTACCGAAGCAGAGGGAGGGAAAAAGTGGAGACGTTACAGAGAGAGACACACACAGGATAACGATATTTCTCGGTTACTTTGGCTGTATTTTTACAAAAAATATCCCTCGTCTTCCTGAGGATCGCTTAAAGACGCAATTTAATCGGGAACTTTACATTCCATTACGCGGAAGAAAAAGCGCCGGAAGTACTATGTTCCTCTTTGGTCTGTGCGCTTCTCTCCTCGTTCTTTTTTTTTTTTTTTTAAAGCTTCCTGTCCGTTCAGAAACAGAGAGGAAAGTTTTCTCTTTGAAACGATCCTGTCCCGAACTTTCATCGCAATAGACACACTCTCGTCGTCGATAAATACTATCGTTCTCCGACTGGTACCAAATTAACCCTTGGAATGCTTTGTGACTGATACAGTGATACTTCGACCAAATAATAGTATCAATAATTTTGTGAAGTTTCTAAAATTCCGAAGGAAATCTAACACGAGATTGAAATCGTAACAAGTATATTTTATAAAGCACCGGATTTTCGCCTGCTTCGTTTGTAATTGGAGTAACGCACCTCGCACAGACACCCTTGACTCTTGAATTCGCGAGCTCTAGTTCAGATGATGCAGTTGAAACACGCTGCTACGGTAAGGTCGATCGAATCGCGTTGCAATACGATTCAAGCAGAGTCGACGGCTCGGAAGCGTACGAGGGATGAATGGAATTCGACGAAGAGGGTGCGTCGTTCCGAGTAACGCGCCCTCGAAGGGATGAAAAGAGGGCTTGCAGGGAGTTTACACCGCGTCATTTCGCGCTCGCTTTAACTTCGTTGATTGAATCATGAACTCGAGCTACGCCCCTTTTCCTTACATTCAACCCCTTCCCAAAGGGGTTGCCGCTGCTCATCGACCACGGGACCAGGTCAAATGGAATAGGATTCGGTTGTCTGTTGCTCGTGAATCCTGATAGGTCGCATAATTCATGCTCGTTCACGCACCAACCCCTGTATCTGTCGAAATGGCAAGGAAAAAATTTGGTCGCGATACTCCTGAATTCTCGCTAGGGTAGGTTTTAACTTGGAACCCTGTTTTTTCCTTTAGAAATTTAATAATCGCTGTTTTCCACGAATAAACGTCTGAATTTTCGGTTGGAGTGGATGAAATCCGTGAAAGAGAGCTGTTCTCGTTGCGATGCGCATTTTTCTGCTTTCGTCCCCTGGGTTGGACCATTTTTTACGAAAAATTCTCGTATTTTTCGTAATTCGGCGACTCTCTTCAGAAACGGACCGTCCGAATGAACAACTGCGATTCGCGTTTCGTGATTCTCGTGAACTCAAGTGTATACAGGGTGCACCAGAATGGAAATTGAGGTACCAGAATAAAAAGTTTAAATCTAAAAATCATGCCCACGTATTGTGAATGATCCTGTACGTATTTATAACAGGGTAAAGTCAGCAGTTCAAACGCATTCTTTCATCGCGATTTTCAGGTCAAGCGATCTCCGGCTGATTTAATCCGGATTTAATTAAGCTAATTAAATTCCAGATGCTCGTCGCTGTATACCAGCAGGAATAACGCGTAACAAGTGGAAGGTATCAACGGAATGAACCGGAAATAAAGAGACAGAGAAAGAGCGATACAATAAACGGAGGAGGGTAATATTTATTCGTATTTTGTAATACGATTTCATTCGTCGCGGTTCAAAGTAGAATTCCAATATTTACCTGGACGGTAATCTAATTTAAATGCAATTCCTTCGCTCGTCCCAGTTTAAACATTTGTTTCCCTGTTTCTAGGAGACCGGAAGGAATTTCACTCCGGTTCTCCGTTCACATGGACAAACTTTTTCAATCGGCTCCAACGTTTTTCTTTCATTTCGTTGATTGATCGCGTACCTCGTCGCATTACTATCCTCGAATCGTCTCGCGAATTGCTCTCCAATTCGATAACGAGTCTCCAATTTTCCTGATGACTCGAGGACGAAGGGGTCGAGAATCGTCAACTTTCGTGGCGCTTCTATTCTCTGTTAAAATGTAAATTGTGATTCGAAAGAGTGGCAACAGGTGCTCGATACACAGGTACAATTACTCTTCTTTTTCGTACATTCGCTTGAATTATTTTTTCAAATTCCTAATTCTTAATTTCTCGTTTACCTTACGATTTATCCTTCGAGTTTCAAGAAACTAATCGGCACGCTGGCAACAGGTGCCATTTTGACGAAGCGTATCGTCGAGCATGGATCGTTCTCGTCGTACGTGTTACGGGAAAACGAAGGAAAATGAACGTTCGGAAACGTTAGACACCGCTGGGTTGACGATTAACTCGACTGGACGCGAGCAATTTGCGAGAACAGTTAAGGGGTAAGGTTGGGGTTGAGGGTAGTGGAACGGGGGCGGACCGCAAACGTTCCTTTAAACCGTTAAGAGCAGCGTCTCGCGAAAATTTAGTTCGTTAACCGAGGACCGAACGGCACTCGACCAGGGCTGCACACTTTCAAAGAGTCCCTGCCTCTCTGCTGTCGAAGAAGCAGGGAGAGTTCCAGGTACTAGCGTCGATCTCATCAAGGAACGTTTGTAGAGCGAGTAAGCTACTACGAGACCGAGACCACACGTTGCTTGTGGCTCCTCGAAAAGGACTTGCTCGTTTTCGCCCTTCCTCTACCTACCACCTTCGTCGTGTTCTAAATCACCAACCCCCAGCTTCCCTTTTCGATTCGAGACTGTTTATTCGAGAAACGCCACTTCGAAACGAGACCGAAGGAACATGGTCGACGAACAGGATCTATACAGGGTGTCTCCTAATAGATTGAACGCCGACTTTATCAATTCTAAATCAATTTTTATCGTTCCTAAAAGGATCGAATTCTTCGGTTTCAAATTTAATCGTTTTATTTCCCTTTCTTTGATCAAAGAACGGGTATGAAAATGGGTTCGAACGAGAAGATATTCGCTAGGGAGCATCGAAATCGAGGATGGTAACGGTCGGTCGGTTCAGCCAGGACGAGAAGAAAATCGAACGACGATGCGTTTCACCGCTTATAGGCGGCTAAGTCGCTTACTCCGGCCAGTGAGTTTGATATCCTCGATACGAGAAATAGCCGCAGGCTCGAAGTCGGAAAGAATCGATTGCGGAGCCCTGCTGACACGGGGGATTTAACGACGTTTCGAAAAATTCTCTGCTCCATTGATCTCACCGTTCCCGGCTTGTCGCACGTCCCATCTACGACCCGTATCGCTATTTTATCGGCCGGTCAGTAAATTCTTCTCTGCTATAGCTCCGTGTATTACACCGGCAGACGTATTTCGATAACTCCAACCTCGGACCCGACCGTCCACCTCTAAATAAAATATCCAATAGCGATATCGATCCTTGTTTTTTGTTGTTTCACCTTGGTCGGAGAACTGTCTTCGAATTTAAGGGTTGCACAGTCGCGAATTGGAAAGGAGGTAAGGAAGGCGCGATGGTAGGCGAGGAAGAGGCGTTTGAAAGTCGCTAGATGAGGAGGAAGGTGGCTCGCGGTGATAGACGCTGCGGCACGGAGGTGGGATTCTGCTTCCGGCCACCAGGGAATTACTTGGTCGAACCGCTTCGTCGAGTTGAAAATCGTAGACGAGACACGAGAAGTAAGGACGAGCCGTGAAGCGTAGTCTCTTACGTGTACGTGCTGTGGTTGAACAAGGAAGCTCTTTTTGGATCAAATGAGAGAGGAGAAAGACGAAAGGACGAGCGAAGAAAACAGAAAACGAAAATTGTGGGAGGGCAAGAGGGCGAGGATACAATAAGAGAAGCGTGTCCTTGCTTCTTCCTCCTGTCTTTCCTATTCTTTCTATAGGATTTTCTTCTTCTTTTGCTCTTTTCCTTCTTCTTGAATCATACAGGGTGTCCCATATATTTTAAAATGATCCAAAATTTAAAAAAATGCCATTGGTCGAAAATAAATTATTGTTTTTTGAAGTATCACTTGACAGCGAAAATTTTAATTTTTCTTTTTCTATGATATTTTTTTTCTTCTTTATTTGGAACTGTTCGAAGGATACAATTTGTCCAAGTTACGCGGGACACCCTGTATTCGACTTTCTTCCACCCTCGTCCGTGCTGTCCCTTTCTGGCTACACTCCGCCCGAAACTTGAATCCAATTTTCCACATCACATCCCGCAAAAGTTACTCCGTGGCGCTTGGCAGGGTAGGAAGTAGCACGACGTAGCTACGACGGAACATTTTTATCTTCTCTTTGCTTCGGCTCGAGTAAAACAATTTCGGAACATATTGCCCGCTACGGTTCCAAGGACTCACCCCCTCGCTGGATCCTCTTCTTTCCGTCCTTCGTTTCTACGTTTCCCCGGTACAACGTTATTTGACTCTCATGAACGAACGTAATAACGCGTGTATCTGCTCGTTCTCCTACATCGACGACTTTCTGTTCGAACGATTCTGGAAACGATCGTAAGAGGGGTTGGCTTTATGAAACCTTGAACTTGAATGCCAGAAAATACTTGCAATTTCTTTCCCTTTCTAATTAAACGTCTATTGATTTTGGAAAGAAATCTTAATAACATCCACGACGAGTGACCTCGTACGACGAGACGACGGGATAACAACGATTCTGAAGGAGCTAGAGATCGGCGTGGGTGCTGGGTAAGGGTGCGGAACGTGCGTTGGCAAGCGGAAAACCCGTGGGTACATAAGGGCTGTATAACCGACTCGAATAAGAGCCAATATTTGCTCGTCTACGTCGCGAGGCAATCTGCCTCGCTTCTCGCGTCAGCGGACACGACGAAGATGACCCCCAAGGCCGATACAGATTCTACGTATCGTCGCCCCGACTGAAACCTTTGCTCTTTACTCTTTCTCGAATTTCTAACAAAGAAATTTTAGCATATCTGTAACAGCTTAAAAAGTACGACAGGAATTTCTAGGGATCCTGATATGTTCACCGTTTGATATTTACCATTGGTTCCCAATAAAACGGTTACTTTTAATCCAGCCCCGGATATATAAAGGAGCACTTTGCAATTCTAATTGCAGGAACCTTATCTACGCTAGCGTACTTCGCCGATAGTTCCACGTCGAATCTCTCGTTTACCTTCCCTTCCTGCTTTTCTATCTCCTCGAGAACCATCGCGACATTAAAGAGAATATCGCGAACGAAGGGGATCGAGGGGGATAAATTAAAAGGGGTACTCTTCTTTCGCGAGTACTTCATCTCGGGGAAAAGCAAGAGGAACCTGAAAGAGTCTAGTTTTCGCATCGATGCATCAGCCACGATGAAACATTGTTTTCCGAGCACGATATATCGTAACCGAGCGATACACAGGGTGGTGAAAAAGAAGAAAATTGAAAATTTTAACGGTAGATTATTATCGGAATCTCGGTAAACTTTCAACCCTGCCACCTGCACGATTTATAATACTTACGTTACCGGTGAAAGATTAAAAATTTTTCCTTCGTTTAGCGAGTGAAATTCTGAGCCCCTCTTTCTTTCATCACCTTGTATATTACGTGACGATGAAAGGCGAGAAATTTAATATTTGGTCGATACATATTGAAGAGCTCGAAGACTGGGCTTGCTGTACGAGGGTGAAGGAACTCATTTTCATTTATCTCGGGTGAAAATGTCTCGAGCAAGTTTGTAAGTGGCCCGAAGTCCGGAAAAGCTCTTCGGGTTATGCCGGTGGCTGGTACAGGGGCACGTTCGTGCAATAACGGTAATCGCCTCGATAAGTATCTGCCCTCTCTGCGGAGAACACATACTTCGAACTGGATCACACTGTCTCTCTTTCTCTCGTTCCTGTCTCGTTGAAGGTGAAAGAAAGAAAGAAAAAAAAAAAAAAAAAGAAAAATGTCGCGACATCGAAAAGAATACAACGTACTAACGACGATTATCCGAACGGGAACGAGCGACCCTTGACTTTCTTCCGCGGGAGAAAGAAACGAGTCCTTCGGTTCTATGTGACCCGACTGCTGGAGACTTTCGTTTCGTTAACGACGTTAACGATTCATCGACGACATCGTTAGCGCTATTGATTCAGCTATCAGAACCGAAGGAGAGCTGAATGTTTCTTATTCAAAGTTGCGTTCGAAAGGACGCCGAGTACGTCGCGAACAGAAAGGAAACTTGATTTCGATAGATGCCGATAGAATGTGCAGTGTAATTATGACTTTTCATTAATTTTCTTTTTTAATGAAAATACGAAAGTAAAGACAACAAGTGAATGAATGAAAGTACGATTACAACATTAGTATCCATTGATGAAGGGGTAACCAAACGGTAGCCGAAGGCCTGCAACGCGTGCTACGTAATTGAATAGACAATTAAACAGATTCAGGCTCGCTTCAGATGCCGCGCGTTAATTAAGTGCGGAGAGAAGTGAAGTTTAAATGAGAAAACCGCTGAGGCAT